TGTCAAGAAGTATAACCCCTGCTGGACATCGTGCCGGGGCTCGGGGGGAACCCGAATCATCCCCTCTCCTTCATTCACACAACACTCACTCATATCACAGAGATCTGGCTGGGATTGAACCAGCAACCTCTGAACCATGAGGCAGCACTCTAACCTGTGAGCCACAGATCTCTTGTCTGAACATGTGAAGGAACCTATATTTCACTATTCACCTGCATGTGGCCGCTGATTTTTCAATAAGCCAATTAAAGATTTTCATTAGAAAGCTGAGGTGAGATTCGAACCCGTGCCATGATCACAGGTTTAGCAGTAGAGGATGTGCGTTTAGCCACTGGCCCAACATGGCTTTTATGCGCAGTGCTGGTGTTTGAGCCACTTCTTTATACAACACCAAAACAATTAGGATTAATGGGAGCAATAGTGGAATTTGAACTCATCCATGAATACAATGCAAAACTTGATCCACTGTGCCACTGTTTTAATGAGAGTTTTGTTGTATATGATGAAAAGCTTAAGCAGTTGCGCAATGTTTCATTTATAAATGGATCACTTCAACTTTTCAGTTTAACTTCAGCTGCTTATCTTGACCCACTGTGTTGAGATGGCAATGACATTTTAAACGTGAACATTTTGTGAACTAAGCTTAAAGGTTGGTAAAAGCATCTGGTCCCTACTTTTTCTGTGCAACTATTTTTTTTTCTCAGGTGACCCTACGCAGGACAAATGGGTTGGAGAATGGATGGAAGTCTTAAACAGTTTTACATATTTTTCTGTACTACCCCAGATATGGCAGCTTGTTACAGCTTTGCATGTTAACATAAAGCTCTGCATGCAAAATCTTATGCCAATAAACCTGACACTTTTGTTTTTGAAAGTTTTCTGCCTTTCACGTGGGAACTTTAAAGACTATGGGATTTTCTTCTGATATATTGTGAAAGGTTAGTTTCACTAGTTTTTTGTAATGCAGTTTTTTTTTTAGTGTTGTCATTTTCATAAACATGAATCACTTTGCAGGATGGCGAGCAGCTGCATTAGCCATTTTTTTTCTAGATTCATAGATGATAATCTTCCATTTGAATAAACCCAAGACAAACTAATACGCATTGTCTAAAAACAGACTGGATTTGGGAAAAAAAAAAAAAAGTTTTATTTGAATTTCTTTGACTTACGCATGCATAAAACAGTACATAGTACATGGTATTCACTGATATGGTTATAGTATAACAATATCAAGTTCACAGGCAAAATGAACAATTTTCCCTCCCAATAAAATTACGTAAACATCCAACTATAAAAAAAGATGATGAGAACATGCAGTAAATGGTCACATAAGAATAGCCTAGAATATAAAAGAAAAACATTAAAGAACTGCTATTTTGATTTGTCATCTTTGGTTTTAACTTGGAGCAAACACTTATAAATACCGTTTCAGTTACTGTATATACTGCAAATCCTAAATGAATAAGTAACATTTCATTGAATTAATATGTTATGGCATTTACGGTGTGATTCTTTTGAGTTTCACTGTGAGTGGAGCTTCTTGCTTTCATTGTAAAATCACAGTGACTTTCAGTTTTTCAAATTTCACAGTTAAAGACTTAAGTGATGATTGTCATGTTTAAACAGTCTTAGTCGTCATCTGTGGCACTGGTTTCAGGTGAACGCGAGGATGCTTCCCTGAAGAACTCATCCTCTTTTAGCATGCTCTGGTGAACACAGGAGAACCTGAGGTAAGGACAAGAGAGAACACAGCAGATACAGTACAGCAGGAATAGTCTTACAGTCAGGTTGTTGATTCCTTCCGAGAATGCGCCGATCTGTCGCACTGTGCCCTCGGAGTCCCCCATCTGCACAGAGAATCACAACATAATTTAAACAATTTAACAATAACATCCAACTATGACCAGAAAACGTATTAAAGACTGACAATTAAAATATGATTCACAATTTAGCTGCATTGCATCCTAGTCTGTAGAACTGCCTATACCTGCTCCAGCTGATCCAAGCTGTCCTCATATATGCAAAGGGCTTCGTGGAAACTGCTGCTCTGAGGCATCTGCACATCCATGGGGCAAACATACTCTTCCATCTCCTCCTGTCGCTTCCGCCTCAGTGTCCCAAAACTTCCAAACGACAGACGTCTTGGCTAAAAGGAGGAGAGGATGGTAAAGGACAGGTAAAACTTTTATCAACATGCTGTTATTACGTTAATAAACAGCTGTTTACTGTTGTATTCCACACATTAGTGACATTCAAGGTCCCACAGGCAAGTCAACCTTGCACACAGTTACTTGCCTTAACTTTGGCTGTGGCTGTCAGGACAGTGTACTCTGGGTTTTCGAGATACTCCTGCTTCAGCCTTTGTGCCTCTGAGCCAATCAGGAGATGGAAGTTGTTTGCAAGGTGACGTCTCAACAGAGTTTTATTCGGTGGGATGTTAAGAAGCAGAGCCATTGTCTCAACATTGAAGCGAGGCTCTAAAATCTGAGAAAGGCAAGTAAAAAATAAATAAGTAAAAGCAATGTGAATTTGAACTTTATGATATTTCCTGCCCCACTGCATGTACCATTAGGCCTCCGTGGACTCCACTTCCTCTCAGGTTGGGTGCGTACTCTGCTAGATCCACTGAACGAAGCCACTCCATCACCCTGTGATTGGTCCATTGGCAGATTTCTGCTGGCGTGGGATTGTTCTAATCAAAGGAGGAAAAATAGAGCAAAATTCAAAGTGAATGGAGCTTAGTGTGGTAGCATAATGACAGGTTGTGCTACCTCAATCGGTCGGCGGCGGAGGCAGTTGGGGTCATAGCGGTTGATACGTAGCACCTGAATTGCCCTCTTAATACTGAGATGGTGAAGCACACTGCCCACTTTCAGTCCCAACAGGTCATCCTAACCAAAGATAAGTAGAACCTTAGAATTGCGTTTTCCACAAAAACATTTAAGAATTTAGTAGTTTCTTGAAACCTAATGAAGGGATTTATGCATATGTATAAAAGTTAATATCTTCATCTGAATAACCACTGAAACGTATTAACATATTAAGAAGCACATTAAAAAGACCTTCCAAATAACTTCATGATCCCCTTCGATTTCTTCTTCCCTTCAGGCGAGTGTGTCTCTAATGCGTTTGTCTTTTGAGTTTGCACTCCGGCCAAATCCAAGTGCTCAGTTCCCTTACGCTCTCCTTCAACTGCCAATATATAACCAACCTTAGGGTGAATCTTCCAGCAAATTGCCAAGAAATATGCATACTTCATCTCAGAAGCTAAATGTGAATTTATTTAATACACGAGTTTCACAATTTGAGTTGAATTACTTAAATAAATGAACTTTTCCAGGACATTCTAATTTATTGACATGCACCTGTATATACTTATTCTCAGAGGTTTTAGACAGTCAACAGGTTTCAATTTCATGTCAAGGAGATATTGTTTTTAATTGTTTATAGCGTGCCATTGTAATATGAGCACATTTTTTTCAAAAGGAAATAATATATAAACAAAAGATATAAAATTGTGCCATGGACATCTCACCTTTTGATGCCTGCACAGATATCACCATATCTTGAACTTGCTTGTAACGGATCAGAGACTGCTGCAGCTCTTTTATCTTCAAATCCTAAAAAAAAGTTTCAGATTAAAACAATGTAAAATTGAATAGCATATGAAATACAAATTAATAATTAAATTACTATTGAATAAAAATTGTATTATAATTTAATAAATATGGTGTATATATATATATATATATATATATATATATATATATTCACACTCATAAACACTGTAATATTGTAAAATATTACATTTACACTGAAAGAACAGTTTTTATTTGAAATACAATTTTTGAAATCTTATGATCAATTTTATGCATACTTGCTGAATAGAAGTATTAACTTGTATTTTTAAAAAATCATTTTGACTGGTTCTGTACATATAATATCTACCTACTTCTACATGCATTCATTTAGGCAAAGACTGTTTAAGAATTGGAAAGATTGTGGAGATGGGTTAATTAGAAACTATATTAAATATATATTATGTATATATATATATATATATATATATATATATATATATTCACACTCATAAACACTGTAATATTGTAAAATATTACATTTACACTGAAAGAACAGTTTTTATTTGAAATACAATTTTTGAAATCTTATGATCAATTTTATGCATACTTGCTGAATAGAAGTATTAACTTGTATTTTTAAAAAATCATTTTGACTGGTTCTGTACATATAATATCTACCTACTTCTACATGCATTCATTTAGGCAAAGACTGTTTAAGAATTGGAAAGATTGTGGAGATGGGTTAATTAGAAACTACAGTCTGTGAAATAATGTGTGTGCTGGCAGGTGGTTGATGTGATCGTCAGCAAAATAGCTGGACATCATATTGTTTACCTTCTCTTCATTAGCTGCCTTCAAAGACTCAGCAGCTCTTCTCATTCTCTGCACCTCCAAATCTGAACACACAAAACAACTCCAGAAATAACATTTTATAGCATACAACATGCTAAACATTTCAGAACAAGACGGCCTTTGACAACATTTTTATGTCTCTGGAATCACTAAAATAAACACAGCAGAAACTGCATACCCGTCATGCTGGAAGTAAAGATGATTTGCAGTCAAGAATAAATATTGTGAGAGAATACAAGCACATCTAGCAAATCTGAGTTATAAAAGCAGGGGAGTCTGCAGCCAAAATCAGGTCACCAATCAATCAAAAAGCGTGTCTAGACAGGTAAATGCAAACCTTCATATACCTCATACATTCCAACACAGCTTAGAGTGTGCTGGGATAGTTTCTCCTTTATCACACTAAAATGTTTTTGTTCCTGTGTCATGCATTTAATAGAGGATTTAATAGCTGCAAAATGTATCTGTGCGAGACTCCCTTTACATAGTGTACACAGTGGAGTTCAAAAGTCTAAACAGTCATGTTTTCCACTCATATGCCATATTTATGCAAATCAGCATAAATAATGATGGTGGATAGAAAAACACATGAACAGAGATACCATGAAAAATATTGATCATTGGATTTTTACATTTAACAAGCTTGAACAGACCCGACCAAATCTCACATTCTCAAACACATATGTAATACTACAGTGCACATATATATATATATATAGAGAGAGAGAGAGATTCTGTCCATTACTTTCTATAAATATTTATTATTCATCTTACTTCATAAATTTCTTACATTTCAAATTGAATTTGGCATTTTGTTGAAATAGCAGAATGTTCGTGTTTGTACCTTTCTCTCTGCTTTGTGACTGTTCTGTTTTTGGGGCTTCTGGCATGGCCTGGTCCTGAAGGCTCCTAAGTGCCTGTTCTCTCTCCTCCAACTGCTTTTGTAGTGATATCCGCTCCTCCTGACCAAGAAAAACCACAATTAACAGTTCAGGATGTCCAGGACATTCCATAACTAAAAACAAGCTCACCATGTGCCAACCCCAAATTTAATTAGCCCAAATTTGTGGCAGAAATACAAAAAAAATAAATAAAAATAAATAATAATCAAAAGCAAGAGACACGATTTTACATGAATCTGTCCAGCTATGTGAATTTGTCCAGTGAGCATGTGGACAAAACTCATTAACTTGGCACATTCCAGTGTCTAGTTTGAAGGTTAGGGTGAACTACACAAGGATTTCTCTATGTGGTAAAGTGATTCATAGACAAGTGCTTGCTGTTAAGCCTGTGTTATACTTTCCGCATGCGCAAGTCCGCTTGGGTCCGCTATGGTATGCGTGACGTAAAAATCGTATCGGAGAGTGTGCGCGAACATCCGTGTGCCTCCAATTTTTTGTGACCGCACGGACAAGTACACGTGGTCAGTAGGCTACAAAAGCAAAAACTGCACATGCGCAGGCTGTGTGAAGAAGCCCGTTGCTACTCGAACCTGTACAATCCATCGATAAAACAATATAAAGACAGCCAGATATGCAATAACTGTGGGCCAATTGTTTGTTCACATGTTTGTTTACTGTTCAAGCCGATCTACTGTGAATGTATGGAACACGTCCGTGGAGCGGACCATCAGCATATGCTTTCGGTACTATAAATACAAGTAGTCCGCGTCCGCGCTGTCCGTGTATGCGTCCGGATTGCTCATGCGGAAAGTATAACACAGGCTTTACACTTCACTGCCGTTAATCTTATGTTGTGTAATTATCACCTGACCATGAGGCACTCGTACTTTGGTAGAGTTAAGACTTCTATCATACTCTTGTCTCTCGTCCTCCATAGAAGTCAACTGAAGGCGCATTTCTTTCACATCCTGATAAAGACCCTAAGGAGACAGACCATGATATCTATAAGTCAAAGAGTCAAGAATAATTTTGTGACTTGTAATGCTAAATGCTTTGAGTTTTGTTGGATGAGTTGGCCAAAAAAAATAATACCTCAAGGACAATAACAAAGTGGAAAAAACACAAACTGAGAACTTAAAAGTATACTTAAAATGATATCTATATTTTCATCAAACACAGAGGAAACCTAGCCCATTGTTTTGGTCCACCGTGGATTTCTGCTTTCTGAAAATGAAACTCCCCTTTGGGCTCATGCAAGTGAGAGATAGCTGAATGGGTCCAGTGTAGTCTGGACTCAAACAGGGCAAAAAAGCTTTATAACAGGAAATGGCTCTGGCACTCAGTGTTTTGCTCTCACCCTCTGCTGGATAAAGCTGGGGGCTTAAGCAGCAATGAATGTCACTATGGAAACCACAGGGTGGTCAAACCATAATAGCCAGGTTTAATTTCATTAAATGTTCAGATCGTCAGTACAGTTAATTCTGTTCTGCATTTAGAGCACTTTTAAGGTTCTGATTAATGACGGGAGACTGTAATTTATAAGGCCTGTGGGACTCTGTGCCCTATGAAACTTCACAGTGGTGATGGTGCAAACATGTGCTCCTTACCTCACTTTCTCTGCAATCCCCTTCTGCAGCAGCTAGCTTTAATTTCAGACTTGATACTTCGGTCAGCAGTTCCAGTTTCTCCGTCTCTAAAACACTCCTGCTAAGCAGCTCCTACATATTTTATATATTGGTTTTAATTTTGAGGGAATCTATTCCTTTAATACTGACCACTCTTACAACAATGTGTCTTAAATGCTGTGCACTTCTGTTATTGGACATAAGCTTATAAAAGAGACCACACACCTGTTGTAGTAACTCTTCTGTAGCATTCAGTTTCATGCGGTGTTCCTCAAGGCTCGAGTCTAGGTCCCTTATTTTTTCTCCTTGAACTTTCACCTGGTCTGTCAGAACACTTACCTGGGGGATCATCAGGGTGGATAGTTATCAAGTTTGTGTGATGTGTGACATTTAGAAACTACAATTGCTGAATTCAGACTGACAGCTAATAGGAAAGCAGAGGCACACAACTTTAAATCTGACAAGAAAATCCCACACAACCCATAAAGTATTTTGATTTGTTTTTGACAACACACCTGGAGCACTAGACATTCTTTGTCACTTTCCACACGAGAGAGTCGCTCCTGGTAGACCAAATCCCCTGCTGCAGATCCATGGCCATTGGTCTGGAAACATAAACAAATGCTTAAGAGTGTTAGATGTAGTTTTATTCTATATTAAACATTAACAGGTTATGAACAAAATGCAGTGAAATGAACTGAAATGACCATATTCAGTCAAACGCCAGTGGGACCTGAAAAAGAAAATCACATGCTGCCATCGGTGAGTCATGTGGGGTTTGTACGGATGATACTTTGCTATAAGAGATGCATGTTAAAGGTTTTCACATTGTAAGATTTTGCTGCCCAGGAGTGGAAATTTCACAAAGCAAGTATGCTTCAGGTTGAATATGGAAATAGGGACTGGGGAGCTGAAATGTGCTTAATCCAGATGAATCATGACTGGAGTTAAGGACGGAAAATGTGAAGGGAGAAAATCTTACGTCAGACTTACAGACAAATACATAGTATAAAAAAAAAAGTAATTAGTATTTTCCTTTCAGAGTAATTTTTGCATCAAACGGTTTACAAAACTTCAGCCAAAATTGCAAATATTATTCTAAAATAAACTTTTATTTTTTTTATATTCCTATTATAGCCTTTTTTTCACAATCTGAGGAAAACCCACCAGTTGGCCTTGTAGCCACTCAATCAGACCCTCAGCTGTGGTTTCGGACACCTGACTGCGTAGACTTTCCTTTTCCCCAGGATCCATCAGGTCCAACGCAGCCCTCAGGTCCTCCAAGAGATGCAGCACCCGAAGGCTGCCTAGGAATGGCGACGTTGGTGACTGACAATCAAACAGGCCGTTGGTATAGTTCATAGCCTTAGAACCTGAGGCAAGTGCGAGAATAAGGGTCAGTGAAGGGATTTAGGGATGAGTCAAATTGTTGGGTTCCATGTACAATTCAATTGACTAATGTAGTTCACAAACTGGATGGACTACTTCTATTGTGATATTTTTTGTCATTTTTGGAACATGAGTGTGTGGTTGTATTCCCTAAAAAAAAAAGAAAGTGAGTAACTGACTGAAATCATTTCATTTTAAACTGAATTTTTGGGTGACTTTTTTTTGTTGTTGCTGTATCTACTTTCAGCACTTTCCAAAACAAAACACAGGTTAGATGACTGTGACCGCACTGCTCGGATGGCTTATTGTTAGATGATGTAAACAGTGAGATGTCCACTGCCATAATTACAGAGTGAATAGAAAAGCATAATCGTCAATTTTAGATTAAAAAGTCAATTTTAAGATTAAAAAGTCAATCCCTCATCCTATATGGTATATGCTATATCTGGCATACATTTTTCTCTGATGTGTCCCTGATGTTCCCAGTGATGGACAATATTGTGGTCGCATACTGAATAAGCATTAGATTTCATCAGTGCTGAAATAGTGGAAACAACTTGTAATGTTGCTCACTACGCATACTCTCAGATCTTACAAATTTGCAGAAACACTCAAGAGTGCAGATTTATTCTCCTTGCAAGTTATGTATGTGCATGGACCCTAAAAATTCTTTAAAATAATTGTCTATTTTTTTAATAAATGACTACACTGTTGATGACTGTGTAAAGCTGCAAATAATAAAGAAAAAAAGAAGAGAAAGAATAATTTTTGTACATAGTATTTTTCATTTAGTTGTACCTGCAATGATGCCATCCATCTGCTCCAAAGCAGCTGCCAACATTTCACTGGCATCGCACATCATGATCACCTTTTGTGAAACCTGCAAATGTAACATTTAAAAGGCAAGCAAGGACATTGCTGTCTCTCTCTCTCTTTCTTTAAGAGTCATTAGTGGTGCATACATTAACCACCCATTTGAATTTACTGTCAATTTAATAATATTATAAAAAAAAAACTGATTAAAAAGTTAATCCCTCATCCTATAGGTATATGCTATATCTGACATACAACAATTCTAGTAAAAAAAAAAGAAGAAAAGAAAAATCCTGCATTCCATATATCTAATGTTCTCTCTCCTGCCTTGCACTAATACGGGGCGTTTCTGTCCCAATACAAAGAATGGGAGGACCCGTGTGTGGGGTAATGGTACGATTCTCCCAGGATTTTTCTCCACTGGGCTTTGGAATGCTTGGAATTCCAGGCCTTCAAAACAAAGTCCCACAGGGTTCATGTGCCACTGGCCTACAGCTCGACAGAAGCTTCCCTTCTCCGCCCAAGAGGTTGGATCCTTGAATAATCACTGGAATTACTTACTATTTCAAAATTAATGTATATTAGCAAGGCAAATTAAATCTTATAGACGGCCATGCCTCACTTATGAACACATGTCAAAACATGCATGAGCAGCTGCTCAAATGTGCTTAAATTATACAACAATCCTTACAGTATGCAGGTCAGTGTTGTTATTGTTAATTAAAAATAAACTATTACAAATTATTTCTGTTCCTTCAAATAAAGCCAAAATAAAATTTTAGATCAAAACTTAAAAATAAAAAAAATCAACTTAGAAATAAAATAAAACTAAATATTAAAATTGACTAAATATATAAAAAAAACTAAAAAAAGGGGGGGGGGGGGGAGAAAA